GAAACACCAGGAAAAAATTAAAACTCTGCAAGAAATAAAATGTGATCATGGCATGTAATCATGAGTATAAACACTGATTTTTGAATGAACTAAAAACAGTGATGATATTCTACATTGGGAGGATCAAAAAGACAAGTCTATAGTTGTAAAATAGTTAAATATTCACTTGTAAGTGGCTAATGTCTAATTTTGATAAATAGCAGGAATAATTATTACTATCATTATTATTAGAAGAGTATAGGTAGCCAACAGAAAAAGCTAAAATAGTTCCTAGTGGTTGTCTTTGGGAAGTGGAACTGTGGCGTAAGGGGGAAGCTGGGATGGAGTTCTGTTGCTTATTATAGAAAGCTCTTACATGTGTTAATTGATTTTTAAATTATGGCTTTTTTATTCTAAACATTTTAAAGCAAATAATTTAATATGACATGTGGTTTCTACTTTATGTGATCATTGTATCCTTGAAAATTAACAGTTAAATCTATTTGTTCAAAGTGAATCATGTTTAAAATACTTAGTGGAATTACAGAACAAAGAACCCTTTAAGGCAGTGGTTCTCAAACTTGAGCATGCATCAGAATAGAATACCTAGAAGGTTACTTTTTGTTTTCTTGGAGTCGGGATTTCACTTTCTCACCCAGGCTGGAGTTCAATGGTGCAATCATAGTTTACTGCAGCCTCCAACTTCTGGGCTCAAGCAATCCTACCATCTCAGTCTCCAAAGTAGCTGGGATTACATATGTGAGCAGCTCCAGCAAGCTTGTTAAAATAGATTGCCGGGTCTCACCCTCAGAGTGTGTGTTTCAATAGATCTGGGTTGGGGCCTAGAAATTTACATTTCCGCCAAGTTCTCAGTTGCAGCTGATACTGCTGATCTAGAACCACATTTAAAACCTCTATTTTAAGAAAGTAACTCCCAATTTATATTTTTTATTAAATTGGGTCAGTTGTGATTTTTAAAAAGCTGTTATCTTCCAGGCCAGGTGAGGTGGCTCAGGCCTGTAATTTCAGCACTTTGGTAGGCCAAGGCAGGTAGATTACAAGATCAGGAGTTTGAGACCAGCCTGGCCAATAGGGTGAAACCCCGTCTCTACTAAAAATACAAAAATTAGCTGGCCATGGTGGCAGGCGTCTGTAGTCCCAGCTGCTTGGGAGGCTGAGGCAGGAGAATTGCTTGAACCCAGCAGGCGGAGGTTGCAGTGAGCCGAGATCACACCACTGCACTCCAGCCTGGGCGATAGAGCAAGATTCCATCTCAAAAAAAAGCTGATGTCTTCCTACTCCAGTATGGTGTGACGAGTTCAGAGAAGCTGAGTAACAGATTTCTTTTCACATAGAGAACCACCTTCAAATGTCTTACAGGGTGACTCCATGTATCCCCAAGCCTCTACAGGAAAAGCCATGTGGCCCAGCCTGGCCAAACACACCCCAAAAAGCAATGAAAGTCCATTCCAGCCACAGAGATTGGTTCAGGAATGATTCCATGTCCCTGGCTGGGCCAATCAGAATTCTTCCCAGGACATTTCTGCTTGATTCATCCAAAAACTCTGCTCACTCTGGCATTGTTAAGATGATAAGCTTGGGAGTTACTATTTTGCCTGTCACATGGAGGGAAGCATTCAGGAAAAGTAGAGAAACAGAGTCCAGATAACACTGTGACTTCCTGAGTCAGTTAATTTTGAACTGCCCTTCTCAGTTGTGTTGAGCTGTTAAATTCACTTTATTTTTTCTCATGTTTGAGTTGGGTTTCCCATGTTTGCAACCAAGAGTGCCCGACTAATGAAAATGAAATAGAGCTTTCCAACATGTTTTAAAAATGTGTTATTTCCTATTTGAAGTACTACGGATTCTCGGATTGGAAAACAAAGTAAAGTTTGTTGGAAAAATAATGAAATGTCTGATTGTCACTACATATGCAAACATAGTTGAGAACTCTACAAACTATAGAAGTGTGGAGCTTTAATGTATCTATAACATTCAGGTAGCTGAATCCCTTCCAGTCTGGACTAGCTGAGACCATTCCTGCCTCATCTCCTCGGAGCTAGATCCCACCTTCTCACAACTTGAGAGAAGCTCCCTCCCAAGAATATACAGAAGTAGGAGAAGAACCTAAACTCCCCGACATGATCTTCAGAGGAGTCCATCCATCTCAAGCTGAGTGTTGGCCCTGGGGAAATGTTTGGACTACCAACTGCTCTGATTGACAACTATACTGCCTTCAGAAAAGTCCCAACCTAATTCATGAAACAGAATTTCTACCTCCAGCATTTCATATAATGTATATTAGTTGAATGTCAGGTATTTTGCTTTCATCATCTTATTTAATCCCCACTATAATTCAGAGAGGTATATAATTTTCACCCCCATTTTACAGATGAGGAAATGAAGACTAAGAGTTAAGTGATTTGTCCTGGATCACAGAACCAGCCATGGTGGAGCCAGGATTGAAATTGGATTATTTTTGATTACCAAACCTAAGGAAAGAAGGAAGAAGGAAAGGAAGGAGGAAGAGAGGAAGAGAGGAAGGGAGGAAGGGAGGAAAGGAGGGAGGAAGGAAGCAGGAAGGAAGGAGGGAGGGAGGGAAGGAAGGAGGGAAGAAGGGAGGGAAAGGAGGGAGGGAGGAAGGGACAAAGAGAGAAAGGGAGGGAAGGAAGGAAGGGGGGAAGGGGAGGAAAAAGGAGGGAAGTGAAGAGAAGGGAGGAGAAGAGGAAGAGAAAGGGAAAGGAGAGGAAAAAGGAAAGGAAGAAAAGGGAAGGGAAAGGAAATGAGGAGAACGGGTGAAGGAAGGAGGAGGAAGGGAGAAGGAAGGAGGGAGAGAGATAAAAGAGAAGTAAAGATGTGAGAAACAGAGGGGGCCTGGTATGGGTTACTGACAGTCTTCCACTTCTGGGTTCCAGGCCCTTCTTTAGGCCTGGCTGAACTCTTGCCCACAAGACTTCCCTGGTATTATAATAAATTCCTCCTTGATAAAAAGGAATTTGATGTTTTAAAAAATAAAATTTTCTTTAAAAAACCCTCTTTCTCTTCAACTAGCTTCAGCTGACTTGAATTACTTGCATCCAAAGACCACTAACCAGTACAATCACCCACTACATTATCTTGCCAAAGGAATTGTGCTAGCAACACATCAGCCTCTGGTATGAAGCAAATGAAAGAACTTGTAACACCAGTTCCTCCCCTGCCTAACTAGCTCACCATCATTCTCTCATCCATCTTTAGATTATAGATCACCTTGGTGTTGAGTATGGCTTTACAGTGAGGGAACACACCAACTTCTCTCTGTCCTGAGTTAAAAGTCACTTTTCATTTCATTGCCCCTACCACTAGTCTGGAATCACATCTGGGATCCCTGAGAATTCAAAACCCTACTGACAAAATCAGCAACTGGGCCAGGCGTGGTGGCTCATACCTGTAATCCCAGAACTTTGGGAGGCTGAGGCAGGCAGATCACAAGGTCAGAAGTTTGAGACCAGCCTGGCCAACATGGTGAAACCCCATCTCTACTAAAAGTACAAAAATTACAGGTGATGCACACCTGTAATCCTAGCTACTGAGGAGGCTGAGGCAGAAGAATTGCTTGAACCTGGGAGGCAGAGGTTGCAATGAGCCAAGATCATGCCACTCTACTCCAGCCTGGGTGACAGAACAAGACTCTGTCTCTAAATAAACAAACACCCTAAGCTGTAAATAAATAAATAAACAAACAAACACCCTAAGCTGTAAAACCAAAAAGCAGAGTGCTACCCTAGCAAACAGATACACAAAGGTCCCTACCCAAGGAGGCTACATGTCCAAAGCAGCAAGGAGGTGGTGACACAGCTAGCCTTAAAGATGTATGGCATGTTTTAGCCATCAGAACCCTGGTGATGGAGTCATCCCGTGTTTAGGCACCCACCCACTCCCTATCCACAAGGGCACATCAGCTCAATCCAACAAATCCTTATTGAGTATCCACTTTGTTCCAGATATTTGCACTAGATACGGGGAACAGAACAAAATAGTTTACTGAGAAAGAAGGGCAAAGCATGGTAATGAATCCTTAAGATTAGACATCCATGTCTCTGGAAAAAAAAGTAACTAGTAAAAAGGTTGTGCCACATTCGCTGGTCAGTTTTTGGAGAGCTTTTCTTTCCACCTCATCTTTTGAGCCACTTGACCTTGATATCTAAGAACTCTAGAGCAGCCAACATGGTGTCTGATGCACCCCTCTGACAGCCCAAAGTATTTCAGAAAAGGACTTCCCCAAGGGCTTATCTGGGATTATTTTGTGAACTGAATCGACAAGAATGACACAGGGTCATGCTGTGCTTTAGAAAGCTAAGCTAGAAGCCCGGTAAAGGCCACCCTCTCAACCCGTAGCTTGTCCATTGCTTGGGTCCCTGCAGACTGAAACACCCACGCATGCCCCAGGAGAGAAAGGACAAAACAAATATCCCTAAGAAAACTAGAGTAGTAAAACCAAGTACCATATCCAAAACCTAAAAACAAAAATGTGTAATAAAAGGAGACTAGCCATTATTCTGTTTCTACCCTGAGATGTTACATTAGCAGATGTAATTAATTTTCCCATGGTTTTCTGGGAAAGAGGTTAAGTCACAGGGTTTTTGCTACTTCGTAAATATTTCAGCCAGTCTAACACATTTGATAAAGACAACAGAAATTTATGCGCCTAGAAGAGAAAGATTCAGTTCTATTAGATGAGAACAAGATAGAACTAACTCACCATAGGGTCAGACAGAACGAGTCTCCTGTAATTTCTGTTAATTTGGACTGAGATTTTGCACCCAAAAACCTCAAGGCACCAGGGTGACAATAACAGTATACCTTTGAAAGGAAAATCAAATATTCTATGCTCATCTGGAAGATTTGCCCAGCTTTCCTGGTATTCTCTTCAGTGTGTGTGAAGCTCACTCTTAAATACTCTGTATTCATGCTATGAAGCACATTTCCCTTATCTGCATAGTTCTGTCTACTTTCTCTGAAGCTTCCAGCTGCAAACTTACCTTCGTGTTCTTAGCTCTGGGAACCAGGATCCAAATCCCAGGGAGGCCAGAAACACTTGCTCTGTTCCTGTTGGGTGGCAAGGAGGGCTCTCTGTGGTTTCCAGGCTGAACGGTATTTGGGGCATTGGAGATTGACTTCTGAGGCTCAGTGGCGGCCAGCCATGTGACCAAGGTGGGGGGAGGGACGCTCCTGCAGGGTCAGGGATAGATGCCTGGTTGACTGACAGATCAGGGTATAGCAGGGTCTGAATAGAGCTGGCCATGATCATAGGCAGATGCCTTTGCTCTAACTTTCTTCTTGATTTTAACTTGGTGATCGTTTTATGGCAGTGGTATATTCCAGCCTTGATTCTGAAATGTTATTTTATCTCCCTGCATAATTTTTATCCCAGATTCTTTTTGAATTCTGTCTTGGAGAGATGATAGAACTGGAAGAGAACTTGGAGAATCCAACCCTATCTCAAGGTTGCCCATTTTATGCAATGAAAAATTGGGGCCCAGAGAGGGGCAGTGGCATTTCCAGGAATCTGCAGAGACTTGGACCTGTTGTTATGTACTAGGGTGACCCCAGTTGGCTCAAAATTACAGCTCACTTGAATGTCTCCAACTGCTAAATTGTTAGACCTTTGAGGACTGCTGAAATGTTGGTAAAGGGTCTTATCACATTGCAAGTACCTAAATGTTCAGCTGTCAGATTAGGGCATGACTTAGAAATAGTGGCAGTCTGTACTTGTGGTCAATGAGTTTATATAAACATGTGTGCTTATTTTTAGGTATATCTGACTCAATCTTTGTAAAATGCTCCAAGGTGATATATTTGGAGGGATCAGGTGACACCAAAAGCTAGACATTTTTTTTTATCTCAAAGACCTTGAAGACCTCTCTAGACTAAAGCCATGCAGGTAGTCTCCTAGTCCACACCTGCCACATCACCCAAAAGGATGGTTGCTGGCTGTCTGCTGACAAAAGGAGAGGTGGTAGGAATGATAGAGAAAATGATAGAGGCAGAGATATGGTTGTAGAAGTAGCAGTAAAATGGTGGCGGTGTAGATGAAGGTGTGAAGTATAGGTGGAGTCGTAAAGTACAGATGCAGGGATGAGGTATAAATGGAGATATGGAGTATAGATGGAGGTGTGAAGCGCAGATAGAGGTGATGAGATATAGATAAATGTGGTAAGTTGTGGATGGAGACAGGGATATGTAGACAGATAGATGGTGAGGTGTAGATGGAGGTGTTGAGGTATAGTTGCGGCATAAGATGTAAATAGAGAAGGTGAGGTGTAGATGGAGGTGATGTGAGGTGTAGATGGAGGTGTAGATAAAACTGGTAAGTTGTAGATGGAGACAAGGATATGTAGACAGATAGATGGTGAGGTATAGATGTGGCATAAGATGTAGATAGAGAAGGTGAGGTGTAGATGGAGGTGTGAGGTGTAGATAGAGATGATGAGATGTAGAGAGAGGTGGTGAGGTATACATGATGGTATGAGGTGTAGATGGAGATGCTGAGGTATAGATGGTGGCGTAAGGTGTAAATGGATGAGGTATATATGGAAGTGATCAGACGTAGATGAGTGTGAGGTGTAGAAGGACAGGTGCAATGTAGATGGAGGTGGTGAGGTGTAGATGGAAGTGATGAGATATAGATGGAAATGGTAAGTTGTAGACAGAGGTGTGAGGTGGAGATGGAGATAGTGAGGAAGTATATGGTGGTATGAGGTAGGGATGAAGGTGTGAGGTATAGATGGAGGCATGAAGCACACATGAAGGTGGTGAGGTGTGGAGAAGGGTGTTGAGGTGTAGATAGTGATGGTGAGGTCTAGATGGAGGTGGTGATGTCTAGATGAAGGTAGTGAGTCTAGCTGCAGGTGTGTGGTATAGGCGTAGGTGGTGAGGTATAGGTGAGGGGGGTGAGGTGTAGATGGTGATGGTGAGGTATAGATGGTGATGGTGATGTCTCTATGGAGATGGTGAGGTCTAACTGCAGGTGGGTGGTATAAGTGTAGGTGGTGAGATATAGGTGAGGGTGGTGAGGTGTAGATGGTTATGTCTAGATGAAGGTGGTGGGGTCTAGATGAAGGTGTGTGACATAGATGTAGATGGTAAGGTATAGGTGAGAGTGTTGAGATCTAGATGGTGGCGGTGATGTCTGGATGGAGATAATGAGGTCTAGATTGAGGTGTATGGTGTAGGTGGTGAGGTATAGGTGAGGGTGGTGAGGTGTAGATGATAATGGTGAGGTGTGGATGAGGGTGTGATGTGTAGATAGAGGTGTCAAGGTGTAGATGGAGGATGTGGAGGCAGTGATAGTGATGAAGGAAGGAGTTAGAAATCCTTGTGCGGGCCGGGTGCAGTGGCTCAAGCCTGTAATCCCAGCACTTTGGGAGGCTGAGGCGGGTGGATCATGAGGTCAAGAGATCGAGACCATCCTGGTCAAAATGGTGAAACCCCATCTCTACTAAAGATACAAAAAATTAGCTGGGCATGGTGGCACATGCCTGTAATCCCACCTACTCAGGAGGCTGAGGCAGAAGAATTGCCTGAACCCAGGAGGCAGAGGTTGCAGTGAGCCAAGATCGCGCCATTGCCCTCCAGCCTGGGTAACAAGAGCAAAATTCCGTCTCAAAAAAAAAAAAAAAAAGAAAGAAATCTTTGTACATGATGAAATAGAAGATTATTGTTGCTATTACGCTGATAAACCTGGAAGAGCCTTCCCTCCTTTGATTATACATGTGAAATGGTAAAACTTCATGATTAGGTATCTGGAGAACCTTATTCTTTCAGAGCCATGGTACCTTTGGGAAATCACTTCAGCTCTCTGGGCCTCAGTGTTCTTGAAGCAGTTTGCTCTATTAAATGGTATCTGTTAAGGGGAAACCTACTTCTCTCCTGCCAAGCACTTTTACCTCACTTTATAAAATGGGAACTTCTGTCCTTGCTGACGCCTTGAGAAAAGTACTCTCCACTTACTGCTCTACCTCCTAACTCATACTATCTAGCAGAGGATGAGTGGTTCATGTGCTTAAAGAATTGGAGCATATAAAATGGGCATATGTCATGACTCAGGTTCTGGGTTTCTTCCTTCTGGAACAGCCTCCCCACAGAAGGCCTGTGCTTCCCTCCTCTCCTCTACTTTTCATGGTAAACTTTGTAGGGCAGGTTCTTGCCTTGTGGGATAGGGGATCTTCCAGTTCTGGGTAGATAAGTTTCATTCTGAGGGAAAGGATTAGGAAGCCCAATTGTACATTCAAAACTACATTTTCCAATCAATTTTAGCTGTTGTAAATTTATTTTAAGTTCTAGCTACTGGACTTCTGTATCTTATTTCTCATTTGATTCCAAGTACAGAGGGACTGTGAACAAGTATCATTCTCAAAGTCCTGCACTGAAGAATGAATAAAAGAGCCCACACAGACTGGGTTGGACTCAAGGATCTCTTAAGTTTCTTTCAAGCTCTACTGCCCTATGATTCTATGTATCTACGTGGACTTATCGCTGAAGCAAAAATAAACACCATATTGATAGTGCTGGGTCAGATGTTGAGACCCTTAGTGGATAATTTCCCAAGCTCTGACTCCCTTCTTTCTTGCTTTTCAACTGGATAAAGACCTCCGATCTTCAAGCATCTTCCTCTTCTCTCCATATACCAGCTCCTCATGGCTCCATTTGCTTTCCCTTCTGGTCTGGACGTCATAATGAATCCTTTTCTCTCTTCTCTCATTGATATCCATAACCTTTAATTCCTGCCCTGCCAGTCTCTTAGGCAAAATCAGCCCATTTGTCAACTTCTTCCTCCTGCACTAAGTTCTGTTTCATTTCTGGAGAAAACCTGTCTTTATCAGGAGAGAAAAAGCCAATACACAGAATGGCAGAGGGGTGTCTGTGTGTGTGCACACACGTGCACATGTGTGTGGGCATGTATGTGCATAAAAGAGAGAGAAATCAGGAGGGAGAGAAAGACCTAGTCCTGTGATGCATATGGCCAACTTCCATGTGGTTTAGCTTTGTGAGCCAAAAAATATTGAGAGAAGATATGGGTACCCCTTTTCTCTCTGCTCCTTACCCTCTGGCCTCCTTCCATGTTACAGCCAAGGACATGCCACGTCAGCCACTCAGCTGTGGCACTGGAGTAAATGCTTGGCAGATACTGTCAACCCTTCCTCACCACCAGAGTGGTAACAGCTGAGGCTCATGCATTGCCCTTGGGGAAAGGGAAAGAACTGGCCCCAGTGGTCCTCAGCCAGAGGTGTCTTTCCCTAGGCACATCTGGCAATGTCTGGATCTATTTTGGTAACACTGGAAGGAAGGTTACTACTAGAGAGAGGGTACTTCTGGCCTCTAGTGGGTAGTGGCCAGAAATGCTGCTAACATCTACACAGATGGCCCCCACAAAAAATAATGATCTGACCCCAACTATCAATGGTGTCATGGTCAAGAAATCCTGAATTGGGGCATTTGTCTCTGGTTCTAGGCTCTCACTCAGGCAAAAGAAGCACTCAACACAGGCCCACCTCACTTGCTAGGGATCTGCCAGGAAGGGGAGCTAAAGATTTTCAGTACAGTTGGCCTTCTATATCCAAAGGTTCCTAATCCAAGAAGTCGACCCAGAGCAGATAAAAAATATTTGAAAAAATAAAAATAAATAACAATACAACAATAAAACATAATACAAATACCCCCAAAATACAGTATGAAAAACTATTTACATTGCATTTACATTGTATTAGGTATTATAAGTAATCTAGAGATGATTTCAGGTAAACAGAGGATGTGCCTAGGTCACATTTTATGTGAAGGACTTGCATCCTCAGATTATGGTATCTGCAGGTGGTCCTGGCACCAATCCCTTGCAGATGCTGAGGGACGACTGTAATTTACAACATTTGACCTCTGTGCCTCCATTTTCTTTGGATACCTGGTGGACAGTGATGGCTCCTCGCTGGGACAGATTTCCTTCCATCTCCTGGCTAAATGCCTTCTGAACCCCACCTGGGTTTGACATCTGGAAGGATTTAGGTAGGTCTGACATAGGACCGTGGCATAGGGGCAAAAATCTGTGAAGAAGAAAGCAGCTTCCTACCCTGGAGAGGCCTCCAGGGCTTAGGCCCTTGTTAGTGGGACTATGGCTTCACTTGGGGGCCCTGGCAGGCTTATCTAGAACCTTTAACCACAAGAAGTTCCCCACAGGCTGGGCAAGACTCACCCCAGTATGTGTAATTTTTGGCTTGCAGATTGTTTGTCCCAAGCTTTGGCAGGTGGTACGATACTGGCTGTCCCAGATTCTTGTCTGCTTTAGCTGCTTTTGAACTGTGTCCAGGGTTGAGAAAGGAACATACTGCGATGGTGTCAGCACTCTGAAGGAAGGTGAAAAAAGGTGAGAGACATGTTAAAGAGATGCTGTAGACACTGTAAGCGGATAAGCCCAGGCGATGCTGTAGATGCCCAATTGCTACTGTGGCTGTGGACTTAGCTCACTCTACACCAGCCACAATGCAAGTCTTACTGTTCCTCTAATACCCCAGGTTCATTCCTACCTCAGGACCTTTGCACTTACTGCTTCCCCAATCTTCAGCCTGACTCGCTCCCTCATGTATTCAACTCTTTGTTCAAATGGCATCTACTCAAGAACACCTTCCCTGACCAGCCCATCTAAAATGCCCCTCTCTGGTCTTTAACTCTGCTTTATTTGTCTAACTGGCACTTCTATAGAAAACCACATCATGTGTTTATTCATTTGTTCACTTTTTGTCTGTTCCTCTAATATGGCAGAAAGTTTGTCTTATTCACTAATGTATCTCTGATATCTAGAAGAGACCCTGTCTCATAAATGATTGGGTCCAAATCCTGACTCAATTAACTGTGGGACCTTGGGCAACTTTTTTTTTTTTTTTCACTGCAATTTCCTCAACTGAAAAAAATGAGAATAATGATTATATCTAAGCGAAGGGTTATCTGAATCAGTGTGAAATCTTAGGTCAATGTCTGGCCCACAGGGAATAGTCCGTATTAACTAATAATATTATTATAATTATTATGCCCTGAGGAAAAGGTTCATGTGTCTATCCCGAGGAGCAGGGCAGTCTCTGTTGCTTCTTCAGGACCCAAGTCCTGTTCTCTTCTCTCGCCTGCTCTTTGCTGCCCTCTGGAGGCCTGCAGTGGAGGCGGGGAGGGAGCTGATTCAGTGACGCCACAGTTTATGCATCTCCCAGAGAAGGATGAGGCATTGCAGGACAGTCCTGCTACTTAAGCGAGCCAGACCCCAAGGAGGCATCTTGGGTCTTGGCAGAGCTGCCATGAAGCCATCATTTGGCAAAAACAATTGGGAATCATTGAAGCCACAGAAGAAATGTGAGTACCTAGGAACTCATCCTTCAGACAGATCCCCAAATGGACTCTGCATGCAGCCAAGGGCTGACCCCTTCCTTCCCATCTCCCCAGGCTGTACTTCCTTAGCCAAGGACAGTTCTCTGATCACCTCAGCCAACCTGAGCTACCCCTGGAAAGCTACTCCTCCCACTGTGCGCCTGTGCCTCTCTGTCAGAGCATATCGCTGGCTAAGCCAAATGATCTTCATGTCAACCTAAAATCAGAGGGCTATGGAAAGCCATCCCTCTAGAGACATCTGGGAAGTGATTAATTAACAAGAACCTGGAGACCCCAGCATTGTCAGATCAAAAGATACAATGGAGGAAAAGATTTCGTCTTCAATAATAACAAAAACCCTAAAACATCTAGAAATAAACTTGCCTAGAAATGCATGTTTTATATGAGGATATATGGCAAAACTTTGCTAAGAAATGTATAATAAGACATCATATTTCTGAATGGGAAAACTGAATAGGGCAAATATGCTTAAATTCAGACATTTATATACATTTCAAATACAATTCCAAGGACATTTTGAATGAAAATGACCCAAAAGTTGTGGCTAAAGTATTAGCTTAGAATTTGTTCAGTTTTTACTATGTGCTAGGTTCTGGGCTGAGAGCTTAACATACTTTACCTCAATCCTCACAGCAACCTCAAGAGGTCATTTTATTTATTTATTTATTTATTTTGGAGACAGGGTCTCACTTTGTCACACAGGCTAGTACCGCCTTGACTTCCCAGGCTCAAGCAATTCTCCCAAGTATCTGGGACTATACACAGGTGCCACCAGTCCAGGTTACTTTTTAATTTTTTGTAGAGATGAGCTCTCAATATGTTTCCCAGGCTGATCTCAAACTCCTGGGCTCAAGCAATCCTCCCACCTCAAACTCCCAAAGTGCTGAAATTACAGGTGTGAGGCACTAAGCCTAGCTGAGGTCATTATTAATATTTATGAAAGACAGGTTGGGGCAGTGGTTAAGAGCAGATCACATGACTTTGGGCAAGTTACCTACTACTGTGAGAAGTGGCTTCCTCATCTGTAAAATGGGAATAACAGCAGCTATCCCATAGGTTTATGGTCAGTATTAAATGAGCTAACACGAATAACACATTGAGAACAGTGCTTGGCAAGTGGAAGCACTGATATGAACTATTATTATCCTCATTTACAGAAGAAGAAACTAAAGCTTAGAGAGGATAACATAATTTGCCCTAGTTCACACAGCTGATAACTGGCTGCCCTGGCCTTGGGGATGGGAGTAGGGAGTCTTGCCTACAAGATCTGAAACATTATAAAATCATAATAGTTAAAACTGAAAGCACATCTTTTAAAAAATATTTTTATATGCCTTGCAAGGTAATGTTCTGAAATATTAGCCAATGCCTCCTCCAGCCTGATATTCCCTTTATGTCTCTCCCTTCCCTGCCTCAAATAGCCAGGCCACTCTATGCTCATTGCTGCAGGGAGGGTGTGTGAAAACAGAAAGAAGAGGGAAGGAGCCTCTTTCCTTAGGGGAATAGAAAAGACTTCTGGCCTAGACCTAAACCAAAGTAGGGGAGAAAATGGTCATGAGAAAGATCAAGGCTGTCCCCTACCCCTCATATCCAAGAAGAATTTCCCAGGGCAAGGACAAGGGCCAGATGGAAGTTGAGAAGCATTGACTTTTCTAGGTCCTGGAGGTTGAGGTCCCAAATCTTCTGTTTTCAGTTCCACAGATGGTGAGGGATGCTGCTCAGCCTCCCCAAGCAGCATCCCTCACAATCTGTGGATCTAAGAACAGAAGAGGGCCTGTGTCTTGCTTCTCAGAGGAAAACAGAATGGCTGCTGGGTGTATCTAGGCCAAGAGGACCCTAGGCAAGCTCCCTGAGGCTGCATGAAGAGGTGGAGAGAGATTTTGACCTCCACAATAACTCTAGGCACCAACAACCCAGGACCAGGATAGATGACATCAAGGGCAGGACCCTTTGCAGGTCCCTGAGAGTCTAGAACCCTGCACTCCACCCCACTCCAAACTCAAAATGGAAACTGCAAAGGAAACTCAGAACTGAATGGGATTAAGTGTTCAACACCTTTCTGAAGAAGGGAGCTCAAGTATAGACAAAAGAGAATTTTTTAAAAAACTAATTTTTGTCATACACTTGAGTTTAGGGGCTGAAACTGGTACTCTAAAGGATAGATTTTTTTAGAAAATAGTGTTGCAGAAATGTACTGTTTAAAAAATTTATTTAGAAGAGAAGCTTGGGCAGTAAACAAAGGCAGCAACTTAAATCATTTGCTGGGCTCAGCATATATTATTGATCTCTGCTCTGAAATTAAATGTAATTGTTCCTTAAGACTGAGCTTGAATTTGCATCCCGATCTGCCTTGGACAGTAGCCATCTCCCTGTATTGTCTTGGCTTCATAATTAATCGTGTTCCTTTTATTCTTAAAAGGGTCCTAGTTTGAACAGTAAATTATATGGTTACTCTGCTTATGATTTCTTTTTCTTTTCTTTTTTTTTTTTTTTTTTTTTGAGATGGAACCTCACTCTGTCACCCAAGCTGTAGTGCAGTGGCACAATCTCGGCTCACTGCAACCTCCCCGTCCTGGGTTCAAATGATTCTCCTGCCTCAGCCTCCTGAGTAGCTAGGATCACAGGTGTACACTACCATGCCAAGCTAATTTTTGTACTTTTAGTGGAGATATGGTTTCCCCATATTGGTCAAGCTGCACTCCAACTCCTGACCTCATGATCCACCTGCCTTGGCCTCCCAAAGTGCTGGGATTATAGGCATGAGCCACCGCGCCCAGCCAAGACTTTTAAATGAGAGTAATCCCCTGGGTAGGCTGACTCTGAACTAGGTATCGTGAAACAGAAAGTAAGGCTTTCCACACAGGTGTGGCTGGAGGCCAGTACGGCCCAACATGGAGCCTTTGGAGAGCAGAGAATTTCAGCTGGATGGAAAAGGAAGGTAAGGTAAAGGGCAGGTGGGATGTCAAGAGAGGAGTCATGATGAGGTTGAAGGTCAGGTGCTGGGTGGTTAAGAGGACAGTGGCGAGATCAGAGTAGAATGTTTGAATTTAATATTTCAGAGATGGAGCAGCTAAGGATAATGGTGCGGCCCAGGTTTTGACCATGGACACAGGAGGGAGAAATTGAGGCAAATGGAGGCCTGATTGTGTTTGGGGACAGGAATTGGGCACTGGGGAGACACATGAATGGGGGTTTGTCTCGACTCTTGTACTCCTTTTAAATTTTGAATCTTGTAACTGTATTAACTATTTAAAAAATCTATAAGTAAAATTAAAATGTAAAGGAATCCAAACTACCTTGTCCATTGACTATTCTAGGTCAACAGTGGAAGCATTTTATCAAGTTTTTAAAACCCCATTATAAAAAAAATGGACTAAACATTTGAAAATATGCTCAACTTATTCACTTAAAGGAAAAGAAAGCAAATCAGAGCCACAATGAAATACTATTTTTCACCTTTCAGATTGGCAGATATCAAGAAATTTTTCATCAATGAGAGAGGAAGGCAACAGGCCGTAATACATCTACTTGCCAGTGAGATGCAGATGGGCACATCCTCAGTGGGGCCGGTTTGGTAGTATTTATATAACTTTAAAATGGACATATCTGGCCTGGCATGGTGGCTCACATCTGTAATCCCAGCACTTTGGGAGCGGAAGCAGGCAGATCATTTGAGGCCAGGAGTTCGAGACCAGCCTGGCCAACATGGTAAAACTCATCTCTACCAAAATAATACAAAAATTAGGAAGGCATGGTGGCTGTAGTCCTAGCTACTCCGGAAGCTGAGGCATGAGAATCGCTTGAACCTGGTAGGCAGAGGTTGTGGTAAGTCGAGATTGTGCCACTGCACTCCAGCCTGGGCAACACAGCAAGATTCCATCTCAAAAATAAAAATAAACAAATAAATAAAATGAATATACCTTTTGGTAGCAGCAACTCTTTATCTGGAAAGTTATCTTACAGACACATTACCATCTGTGGATAAAAACGGAGATGTGGTTTGAGACACTCACCTCCCTGTGCTTATGTCACAGTTATAGTGAGAATTAAATATGATATGTAGGAAGGATTTTAACAAGGGCCTGGCACATGGTAAGCATTCAGGAAATGCTGGCTGTTATTATCACAGCATTGTTCGTGGTGGCAAAACATTGGAAACAACCTGCATGTCCATGAATAAAGGACTGGTTTTAAAAAGAAAAGAAAAGGCCGGGCGCAGTGGCTCATGCCTGTAATCCCAGCACTTTGGGAGGCCAAGGTGGGTGGATCACCTGAGGTCAAAAGTAAGAGACAAGCCTGGCTAACATGTTGAAACCCTGTCTCTACTAAAAATACAAAAGTTAGCTGGGCATGGTGGCAGGTGCCTGTAATCCCAGCTATTTGGGAGGCTGAGGCAGGAGAATTGCTTGAACCCAGGAGGTGGAGGTTTCAGTGAGCCAAGATTGTACCACTGCACTTCAGCCTAGGGGACAAGAGCAAGATTTTGTCTCATAAATAAATAAGAAAAAAGAAGAAAAACAAGTTTGTCTCTACTTTGGAAAACCATGAAGCTTCTAAATAGAATGAGGATATTCTTTAAATGGTGCTATGGAATGATTTTTTTAGAAATATTGCTGGAGAGAGGGAGAGCATCAGAAGAATAGCTAATGGATGCTGGGTTAATACCTAGGTGATAGGTTGATCTGTACAGCAAACCACCATGGCACACATTTGCCCATGTAACAAACCTGCACATCTGGCATATATACCCCTAAACTTAAAAGTTGAAGAAAAAAATTAATAAATTTTAAACTTTTTAAAAAGAAATATTGTTAAGTAGGAAAAAGGGAAAGTGTAGAAGAGTGCTTATGGCTGTCATCATGCCTGTGTAGAGGGTGCTTATGGCTACATGGTCTCTCCAGGGAAGAAGTCACAGGCACTGTGATGCTTCCTGGGAGGGGAACTTGGAGGTGGGCGCTCGGGGAACTGTATGACTTCTTGTACATTTTATATTGTCCATCATACAGAGGTATTCCCTATTCAAGAACAATTAAATAAATTCCACTTCCGGGTATATCCCAAGAGAATTGAAAGCCAGGACTCAAACAGATAGTTATATGCCAATGTGCATATCAGCACTCTTCATGATAGCTAAAAGGTGGAAACAACCTAAATATTCATCGACAGTAGGATAAATAAAATGTGGTACATACATGCAAGCATGATTCAGCCTTAAAAAGGAATGAAATGCAGACACATGCTGCAACATGGGTGAACTTAAGGACATTATGCTAAGTGAAATAAGCCAGACACAAAAGGACAAATACCATATGAGTCCACTTATATGAGGTACCTAGAACTGTAATGGCTCCCAGGGCCTAGGGCCATGGAAAATGGGGAGTTAGTGTTTAGTGGGTACAAAGTTTCAGTTGGGAATGATGGAAACATTCTGGAAATGGATGGTGGTGATGGTTGTATTACAGAACAATGTGAATATAATTAATGCCACTGAATTTTGTACATCCAAAAATAGTTAAAATGGTCAATCTTATGCTTATTTTGCCATAAAAGGAAAACATTTTAATAATAAAAATATTCCTTTATCACTTTGATTGGAGCTATGTTAAATATAGATTAATCACAAAGAGCTGTGTTGTATGAGCAACAACAAAGAACAGTGCTATCCAAAAAAGGGCTTTTGTTCTCCAAATTCTGGCATTTTCTATGCCAGGCAGACCTGCTCTGTTTTGCTGGCTGGCTTTTTGGAAATTCATGTTTCTGAGTAGAGAGAAAAGACTGAACCCCAGGACCAGGGGAAGATGGTAGCTTCATCCAAGATGGAGGAGAAATGGGCAGGAAAGAGATGATGGGTGGGGGTGAGAGCAGAGAAATTCCCATGGGGCCATGAGAATGAGATTAATGGGGTGGGTGTAGGAAAGGGATTCTAACAGGGGTGGAAAAGGCTGGCCTTTGAGGGGAATAACAGAGGAGTTATAGCAGGGACCTGTGAAAGAATCACCACATTCCACTGGTGAGCTGGAGATCACAAACATATAGTTTTCCTATTCCCTTCATCTCTTCTCTTCCAGGCAACAACCCTGAAGGGGTTGAGGACCACGGTTAGCTAAATAAGTAAGGAAGAGTGGAAACCAGGGACTTCTTCCCATCCAGACCACCATCCACCATGGGCTTCTGTTCTTTACCAGCACGAGAAGAGTCTCCACTCCACATCAGGATTGAAGTGGTATCATTAGGTAGGACTGGAAATTATAATTATTAAAAGGAGACTGAGACCAAGAGGGGCTAGAACAATCCTGTGACTTGCCTAAGTTTCATTTAGGGGCAGAGCAAGAGCTAGTCCCACAGAATAAATGTAGAAGAGGTTGGGTGCGGTGGCTCACACCTGTAATCTCAGCACTTTGGGAGGCCAAGGTGGGTGGATAACCTGAGGTCAGGAGTTTGAGACCAGCCTGGCCAACATGGTGAAACCCCATCTCTACTAAAAATACAAAAATTAGCTGCGAGTGGTGGTATGTGCCTGTAACTCCAGCTACTCAGGAGGCTGAGGCAGGAGAATCACTTGAACCCGGGAGGTGGAGGTTGCAGTGAGCCAATATTGTGCTACTGCACTCCAGCCTGGGCAGCAGAGCAAGACTCCAACTGAAAAAAAGAATAAATGTAAAAGAGCAGTAAGAGGCAAAAATCAAGTTGCTTTCTGATTTTACCGCATTAAGTCGCGTTCATTCAATGGAACAGTGCACAATATTAGCTTTAATTGTTAATTAACACACATCGGTTAAATAACATTGTATTTGACTCTGGATTTTAAGCTTTCTGAAGGCAAGGACCATGTGCTTTTTAATGCCACATTGTTCCCACAGCCTGGCAAAGTGCCTTGAATGTACACAGGGGGCACTGAGATGGCTGCTGACTGAATTGCTAAGAGGGACTGCCTCACATCAGGCAGCCCATGCCATTACTGTGCTCACACTGGGCCCAACAGTGCAAGGAATCCTAAGTCCTGGGTGGCTTGAATTGACTCTTCCTAAAAAAAGAGTCTGTGATCTAGGAAGTCTAATATAAAATGATGTTGCAAATTGCCCAGACTTAGGGTAAGAGGGTCAGAAATGAAGTAGGCATGGATGGGAATTCTGTCTCTCCATCAGGGCTGCTCTCACTCTGGAGTAAGGAGAGGAAGGGTAAGACACAAAAGGGGGACTCTCAGCCGGACCCAGCTTATGTCCTGTGATACCAGAAGGGAGTATCGCAATGACCTATTAAACCTCAAACCAAGCTGAATCCATTTTTGAGTAAGAGACTCTTACGGGGCTCCTGTCCTCACAACTATATAAAATTGTCCAAATTAAATACTTCTGAGATAATAAATTAGCAGAAGAAGCATGGGGCCTACCTCTTAAGATAGGGAAGTAGATCTTAAGTAGCTCGAGAAACAAAGTTTTCTATAGATGATGGATGAGGGAAGGAAACCCAAGACCAGTTGATTCTGGTTTGGGAAATGATAACATTGGAGAACACACTCTACTGTTTCTTGTGACATCCCTTGTGCTACAGTTATTTCCTCTGTTGACATGGCCACCATCCCTACTTCTAGTTCAGTGGAGGTACAAGAGATGTATGAGTGTCCCCAATGCTAAGTGCTTAGTTACTGCCTCTCTGGGAGATAAACTTGACTGGAGGTGATGTGGGCAGGCCTTCAGTCAAGCAACAAGCCACTCGCTGAGTGCTGTCAATGGGGTGGGAAAAGATGACTCTCCTTAGACTGGTCCATCCAAAATAAAGGAAGTGGGGCGTGCATACCTGGGTGGTCTTCAGGGTATTCCTGGAAACATCCCTCAACTCATGAGCTCACAGCTGAATTCCAAATCCTGGGATGCCTGCTTAGAGGGAGGGTAAAATACCATTTCTCAGGGACAGAAGCCCACAAAGCTAAGGGCACTGGGTTTTTAAGTCAGGATTTTATCACAAGCTGTTTGGAAAGCCAGCTGATCTCCAGGAGTCCTGATACATAAGAACTATGCAGTCTTTCACTTCTAGGAAGAGAGATGGGGACTAGTTCTGGCTCCTCATGCATTTCTTCCCTCTCACTCTCTAAAGACCTCAGAAAACAAATCCTCGGTAACGACGCCTTCTTTGGGTCAGAAAGCTTAGTTGACGTGTGGATTCTTATACAAGTCTCATGTTTTCTAGACTCCTAGGAGACTCAGAGGAGACACCATAAATAACCCTTATTGAATTAGAAGAAATGTGAAATACTATCAACCCCTCTGACTTCCATGGCTCAAAAGGGTAGTTTTTAAATGCCATGTTCTCTGTGGCATGTCTAACTAGATGTAGGGCAGGTCCAACCCTCTATGCAGAGGTCTAACTAGATGTAGGTTTCAACCCCTGGCTTTAGAAGTCTGACATTGCACAGATTTGCACACATTATGTGCTCCTCTCACAGAGGAAACTGGAGTAGAGGGATAGAGCAGAACAAAATTGCAATACTACTATAGGACAACCTCATCATTCTATTATTTGTCCTTTGCTATGTTGGAACAGTTATAGATTAATTTCAACAATCAGGCTACTCCTTATCTTTGCTCTAAGACACAGGTCTTTAGCAAAAAACAATAAAATTTTCACCTGACTCTTGGTGGGCTGGGGAATCCTGCCTGTACTACTCAGTTGGTTCACTCACATCCCCAAACAAGAACCTACAACCACGCTGTAACTTTATGTATGTAAAATCCATTCTACTCACCCCAGTGCAGTGGCCTGTGGCTCCTGGGCCCTGACTCCAATCCTTTTAGGGTGGACCTTGCACTTGGAACCATCTACCTCTCGTTTTTTTCTTCCTCTGTCATTAACATAGCCCCTCCTCTATTGCCTCACCAAATATTTTCAAACCAAAAACTCTTTGTCTATTCATAGCTACTGTAAAAGTAACATTCATTTTTCTGTTTTTTAATCTAACGTCTGCGTCTTCAGTGGTTCTCACTGGCTAATCTAATCAGTGTGTTCTAGGGAGGTTTATTCCTTGTCTATTTAGCATGTCTCAGTACAATAAAGCTGAGGCATTTGCCTCAGGAGAATAAGCTCTTTTAAATCAGACAATCCTCAGTAAAAACGTCAGGACTTTTGCTTCTTTTGTCCATGGGCCCAAGATTCAGGAGAACATTCTACATTTCACTGCCACGTAGCTCTGCAAACCTCAAATCCTGACTCTTTGGAGAAAGGCAGGGGCAAGGAAAACAAAGAAGGCATTTGAACAAACCAAATCCTGCAAGAAGAACTTTGCATACTTACTGATTTTTGTAGGTTTACCCTGACTTTTGGCCTTTTTTTTTTTTTTTTTTTTTTTTTGTGGAGTCTTGCTCTGTCACCAGGCTGGAGTGCAGTGGTGCTATCTCGGCTCACTGTAACCTCCACCTCCCGGGTTCAAGAGATTCTCCTGCCTCAGCCTCCCAAGTAGTTGGAACTATAGATGCATACCAGCACATCTGGCTAATTTTTTCTGTTTTTAGTAGAGACAGGGTTTCATTGTGTTAGCCAGAATGGTCTTGATCTCCTGACCTCATGATCTGCCTGCCTTAGCCTCCCAAAGTGCTAGGATTATAGGCATGTGCCACTGTGCCCAGCCTGGCCTCTTTTTTTATGAATTCCTTTTTTACAAGTGAGAAAAATGGTGACAGAGACAGTGGAATATGGGAAGTTTGGAGGAAGATGGGAAGGAAGAAGAGAGCCAGTGAGTAGGAAGTTAAGAAACTGGAGTGGAAGGAGTGAGGGACGCAGTGCCAGGGGATGGTGAAGAGGAACATGCTAGGAAGGTACAGTGTCTCTGGGCACCAAGCATGGGGCTTGGTATATGCACACCTCATTGAACTCTCAACAGTCCAGCCGGAAGAACATACTTGTCCCCAACCTTACGAAGCTAGAGCTGAGGCTCAAAGACTCAAAGACAGGAAGAAAAGCTGGAGCTGGAAGCCCCATTAAAAAAGCAACTCTGCCCCTTTTCACAGTCCCTTCTGTGGCTTCTCTAAGGGTCTTCAGCCTCCATAATTCAGGGTTGAGATAGGAAATTTATCTTCTGGTTGAAAGTCCTCACTTTCTTCCTAGATTACGTGAAGTTTTCCCTTGGCGGAAAAGGCTCATCCCTGGATCTAGGGCCTGCCGGGGGCATACATGTAAAAGAACATGTTTTGGAGGCCATGGCCAAGCCAACACATTAACCCAACATTATAGTTTCTGTTAATAATCCATGGAATCAAAGACTGGGAAGACTAGGGAGATCAACACATGCTGGGTCACCAGAGACTTTCCTGATTTTAGCACAGAAGATCTGTGACCCAGGAAATCCCTTAGTCCCAGGAAGATGCACATCCTAGGCCAGAAACAGTTTCGGGCCTTAGGGAATTTCTAGCTGGTTGTGGATTCAACAAATTCAGAAGAATGTGAGGCTCCAAAAAGAAGCACAAAGGGAGGGAAGGGTTCAGTGAAAGAAAAATCACCCTTGTTTGGAGGATTACTTTGTTCCACAAATGCTCAGGGGTTACCTACTGGCCCTGTGTGTTAAAGAAAAGCTTTGTGGAGAAAATGGCCTTGAAAATGCAGTGAAGGGGTAGGATAGGGGTAGGATTTAGAACAGCAGGACTACCAAGGAGTATCTGAGGCAGAAGGAAGAGGCCACAAAAAATAAAGATGTAAGAGGTGGAAGAACATAGTGTAAATATCCTGAGAACTGGAGAGCCGTTTCTGTGGGCACGGGGCAGGTTTGGGGAAATAAAGGTTTGGGCCTGCGAAGACAGACTGGGCATTCTACGGAGAGGTGTAAACATTAGCAAGTATGTCTTAAGTCGGAGGAATGTGGAATGGGACTTGTTACAAGAATGAAATAATTGGCTTCATAGTGGATTGTAGCACAGGTGGATAGACCAGTTGAGAATTTACTGCCAAACATTAAAGTGAAACCCTTTGGTTTCTACCTACCCAGGTTTTGTTCAAATCCTGGACATTAATTTCAGAGACTTTAGGTTTGGGGTTTGTTTCTCACTTCACACAGGAATTTGAAGGTGAGCTTCATCTGGTTTGGTGAGGGCATAGGAAGGCTTGGGGCAGGGGCTGTCCCTCCAGGATGCACAAAGGGAACAGGTGTGTAGGCTCAGGAATCCTCCTAATGGAGGAAAGAGGGAGGAGCTGCCCTAGCAGCACTGTGCTTTCTTCCTCGTGTCTAGTGTCCACTGGGAGTTGGCTGGTGCACTGCCTGTCTCCTTGTCCAGCCCTAATGCCACAACAGCTGTCAATCAAAGTACGCTCCTTGCTTATTTGAGAGCCTTTCTACCTTGCTAGAGAAAGCTATCTGAATGCTCTCTGTGAGCAAAGAGGAAGGCAGGGTGGCAGTGTGAGACCACAGCCTGAAGTCCCCTGACTGCCACCACCTGCCACAATATCCTGCTGCCACTGTCCAGTTCTGCTGTCTCTGAGCCTCAGTTTCCCACATGAACCATATGACTGAAGTGGGAACGATGGATTTTCTCCCAGAAGGGAAAGTTCTAGGCATCAGGTCCAAAGAAGTGTACTGTAAACCCTTCCTTGTATTCCAGCACTGCTTTGGAATTTTTTTTTTTTTTTTGCTTTGGATATGTTTCCCTTTTACATTACTTTTTTTTTCTTCTCTCATGAGGTTGCATACTTTACTTTTTTTTCATTTAAAAAATGTAATTCCAATTGGACTTAGGGAGGAAAGAGAAGTAAATATAACAGTTCACTTTGCCATCTTGAACTTGTTTTTTACTTCTGCTAAGGTTGATTTAACTTGGTAGTTGTATTTTTTGTTAATTTCCTATTCATATCTATGTTTCTATTGATGTGTTTCTTTTTCCTATTTATTTAGAGACAGAGTCTTCTTCTATAACCCAGGCTGGAGTGCACTGGCACCATCTCAGCTCACTGTAATCTCTGCCTCATGGGTTCAAGAGTTTCTCGTGCCTCAGCCTCCCAAGTAGCTGGGATTACAGGCATGCATCACCTTGTCAGGATAATTTTTGTATTTTTAGTAGAGACGGGGTTTTGGCATGTTAGCCAGGCTGGTCTTAAACTCCTGGCCTCAAGTGATCCACCTGCCTCAGCCTCCCAAAGTGCTGGAATTATAGGCATGAGCCATCATACCCAGCTTCTTTTTCCTAATTATTTGTAAAAGTTATTTATCATATGTTATAAATATTTTTTTCTTTTTTGTTTTTAGAGACAGGGTTTTGCTATGTCACTCAGGCTGGAATGCGGTGTCGATCACAGCTCACTATAACCTCAAAACTCCTGGGCTCAAGCAATCCTCCCGCCTCAGCTTCCCAATTATAAATATTTTTCTGTTTGTCATTTAATTTTGTTTATAGTATTTTTTCTTTTTCTTACAGAAAGGTTTAATAGGTGTGTCTGTGTGTGTGTATTTTAATAAAGTCAAATTTATCTATATTATCCTTTAAAGTTTCTAGTTTTGATGCCAATTTTAGAAAAGTTTAGCCATCTCCAACTTTATACACAAATTTTCTTTACATAGAAAATTTATATGTTCTAGATTTTCTTCTAGTTCTTTTCCAGTTTTGCCTTGTATTTTTAAATATTCAATCCATATGGACTTTAATTTGGTTGATGGTGTAAAATGAGGATTTAATTTTATTGTTTCTCCCAAGTGTTACATCACCATGTGTAAAATTATGTACCCTGTACCCAGCATCCTACACCCTCCTCCCCAAAGGGCCAGACTGAAATCCAGCCAACGGGACCTATCTTGCTTGATCGCATACTAATGTTTCTGTGTGCTTGAGTCTGCTCTCAGCCAACCATCCTGACAGTAGGCCCAGTGCCCAGTTTCGCTTTCCTACCACTCACCCATCCCTCAGACCACTGTGTTCTGATTTCTGGTCACAAACATTTCTTTGGCAAAGCTCATCATCAGACTTCTAATTGCTAAGTGGACAATTAGACGGTGGTCACTTTTCAGATCTTTGTTTGACAGACCTCTCTATTACATCTGATGTTGATGATTCCTTCCTTTTTTTTTTTTTTTTTTTCCTGTTTTGCTTGGTGTATTTTAGGACTTGTGGGCCATTCAGTATGTGCAGATTTATCTTTGTTAAATAAGTCCACATTGTTTTCCAGAGTGGCTATAGCACTTCACACCCCTACCAGCAGTGTGTGAGCATCTACCTGGATTATTTAAGGATAAGAGTTGAGAGATCTGAAATGCTCTGGTTTTCTGCCACCAGGCATGTGCTCAGTTTCCCCTTCGTGCTGTCACCCCACAGATCTCCTCTCTCCTGTGAGCTTGAGTCCTGCTGCTGGCCTAAGCCAACCCCACCACTATCACTACCAACCTCCAACACAAACAAACCAAGAGAGAGCTTTAAAGACTCACCTTCCCAAAACCTTGTTTTGCCTTTTGTTCCCTGTTCCAGTGGCTTCTCAATGCAGTCAAATACAGTCTGAACTCCTTGGATTGGCACTAACAGCCTTCTCCTGCCTGGCTTCCTCATTCCTCGCCAGCCTTATTTCTCTCCCTGGTACACCCTCCTCCCAAAAGAGGCAGACTGGAATCCAGCCAAGGAGACCCATCCTGCTGATGGGGCTGTAAACCGGTACAGCCACTCTGCAAAAACAATGTGGCAATATTTAATAAAGATGAAAGTATTCATAAGGAATGACCAAGCAATTTAACTACTTACAGAAACTTTTGCACATGTGTGCCAGGGCACATGAACAAGGAAGGATATTTATATAGCATGGTTTGGAGGTACCTAAACTTGGAAGCAACCCAAATGTCCACTGGTAGTGAAATGGATACATTCTGGTCTCTTCACCCTTCTTCACCTTCTGCCCTTGCCACCTCACTGAACTTACACAGGCATGTTAATTTTTCAGGTAACATGTCTTCATTTAAAACAGGAGCCCAACTACCTACTTTCCAAAATAGGGAGCATTTTTTTCCATTGAAAAATGAATTTCCAATATCATCATGTTAGTATGGATAAAAACTGGCTGGGCATAGTGGCTCATGCCTGTAATCCCAGTACTTTGGAAGGCCAAGGTTGGTGAATCACAAGGCAAGGAGTTCGACACCAGTCTAGTCAACAGCGAAACCCTGTCTCTACTAAAAATACAAAAAATTAGCTGGGTATGGTGGTGCATGCCTGTAATCCTGGCTATTTGGGAGGCTGAGGCAGGAGAATTACGTGAACTGGGGAGGCTGAGGTTGCAGTTAGCCGAGATCACACCATTGCATTCTAGCCTGGGTGACAGCATGAGACTCTGTCTCAAAACACAACAAAAAAATGTATAAAAACTTTGTAAAATGATGTGGTCATGTTTTATCATTTGTTTCTAAGGGTTTCTTTCTAGGTTTTCAGTTCTACATCGTCAAATGCATACAGTCTATCCTTTGCTTTTTACAAAGGAGTCAGAAGAGTCTTTTCTGGCAAAGCAAGCCTGGCTTGCATTCTCTATGAAATACTGACTAGCCATGGCTGCAGCTAGAGGGCCCAACCAAGGATCTTTCCAAACCAAGGGCCTTTGAATGTCAAATATATAGGTAACTAAAACTCCAATCTCTGAGGGAGGACAGTATGCCCTATCTGAACTCCCTTGTCTTCTAGAAAGGGTAAAATAGTAGCCTAAGCATTGGGGGGGAACAAACTTTTCTCCTCATGTCTCTGCAAAGGGAAGGGAACACTAGACCATTAGTAATGATGTAGTTTTTGAAGTACATTACATCAGCTAAGTTAACTGTTTAACCGTAAGTTCACCATTCCTTTTTTTTTCTTTGCATTCCATCTTAGGCCAAACCCCAAATTTTCATTGATATGAAATAAAAACAGAAATAACAAGCATGCCATCCCATCATGAGACCAACCACTACCTCATCCAATATTTTCACCCCTCTCCACCCCAACTGTTTTGATCTCTTTCAATGGGTGACATCACAGAATTGAGATGTTAGGTCTCAACAAGATGGTGACCTTTACAGCCAGCCTCTCTGGGGTCAGTAGGAATTAGCATTTCCTAGAATTCCTAGGTAATGCTGCTGCTGTTAGTCAGGAAATCACTGCTCTAAACCCAACTAACAATTTATAGAAAGTGGAGAAGACAGAGGAACTTACTAACACCATGAGGATGCATTTCAAGAAAATCCAGATTTTGAGAAATATTCTAAAAAATAAATTATAAGGAAAAATCAAGCAAGCAAGAAAGAACCTAGAGTGCCTGTGAATGGCCACTGCACTCCAGCCTTAGCAACATAGCAAGGCCTTTCTCTAAAAGAGAGTAAGAGATGATGATGATGAGGAGGAGATGTTTCTAAGCTCAGAACTGCAAGAGACTGGACTAGAGGCTTCAATTTACTCCCAGCATCATCTGGGAGGGCACCAAGGGTAGAGCCAAGATGGCGGTCCAAGGCACAGTACAAGCCTATCCTGCACTAGCCAGTGTCAGGGTCTACTAGATTCTGCCCCAGGCCTCCAACAACGGCTACAGGCTGGAATGTGGAGCATTCTTCCAAAGGAAGACTGCCTATGTCAATTCAGCATAAAATATCAGGAGAGCTCTTTGCTCAAGCACCAGTAGAACAATATGCTGACACTGCTGAGGAGATTATAGCTTCTACTTTGTAATGTGGTTCTAGGATGACAGTGCACAGGCATAGTGCTTTCATCGGCATTGGCTTCGTAGATGAGGGTGATGCCTTTGACTTTGCTATCTTCCTGAAAAATCACCTTAACTGGATAAAACAGGTATCTGAGATGCCCAAAGGATCTTTGGAAATGAACATTCATCCCAAGTTGGATTTGGGCTTTAAGGAAAGGAAGACCATCAAGTTGAGTAATGGGAACATTACAACCAAGGAATGATGTGTTTCAGCCATGTGCAGTGGCACACACCTGTAGTCCCAGCTACCCAGGAGGCTGAGGCAGGAGGACTACATGAGCCCAGGAACTGGGACTATAGTGTGTTATGACTATGCCTGTGAATGGTCACTGCACTCCAGCCTTGGCAACATAGCGAGGCCCTTCTCTAAAAGAGAGAAAGAGATAATGATGAGGAGGAGGAAGAGATGTTTCTAAGCTCAGGACTGCAAGAGACTGTATTGGAGGCCTCAATTTATTTCCAACCCCATCTGGAGGCAAGTTACTCTTCCCCTCCATCCTCCAAGGACGTTGCCTCACCAGCTGTTCCAATTCTAACCATGGAGAGAGTGCCACAGATATCCTTTTAGGCTGTGATTCTTCTGCTTCTATCATGACACCAGCACCAGCTGCAGTCTCTGTGAGCAGTGATTTGGAGAATCTTTAGTACTGTAACCATTCTGTCCCAAACCTGGCACTAGAGCCATCCAACTGACTCCAGATCTGAGTAATACTGGCAGGACATCAAGGACAGACTAGAAGGACAAAAATGACCTTGAGAAAACAGGGCAGAAAATCACATATCTGAGGAAGAAAATGAAGGAGTAGAAGGCAGATCTGGTAAAAGAAAGAGACTGTTTCCTAAATAATTATGATGTCTGATGTATGGGTTTGGGGATTATCAGAATCCTTACACTGAGCCAGTGGATATTCTTGAAGATCTTCTTACAGAGTTCATCAATGAAATGATGAACTTCCAATGCTAATTGGAAGACCAGATCAAGTACAAGTTGAAGAAACCGTCTTCTTAATTTGAAAGGACCCAAGAAAGTTTGCTAGGGTTAAAAGACTTGGTTACTATGAACGAATAATTGAAATAAGCTAGAAAAGCATTTGACAAAGTCAACTGTGGATTTTGACATTTTTTGTACTTTCTGAAGCTCCATTATTTTCTGGGACAACCATATATAGTAACTAAATATTTTCTACAGTAAGGTCCTGATATCTAACCATGTAAATGAAAGATGAAGAAACAAAGATTTTGTATTTTCAATTTTAGAATGTCATTTGAGATGTTAACACCTGCATTTATATTACCATACTTGAATTATTCAGTTTTAATGAAGATGAATGAAGGACCTTGCAAACTGCACAGTTCCTTCTGACTTTTGACTACCTACATGATGAAACAACACAATATTTGTGTTGAGTCTTTGTGCCACCGTAAGCTATACTACAGCTGTTTAATATGTGAAATCCAAATGGTACCTTTGACTCACCATAGCCTGAGACACAGCTGTGTCATGTATTCTTTAGTTTCTAGACAACATTAATTATTAAAGACAGCGAGCTGTTTTATGTTTCTCTTGAGTAGATATAGAAAAAGTATCTTTTAAGAATATTTGTATTAAAAGGTAATTGTTTTAATATTCTTTTCTTCAGATAGCAAGTTGGGTTTTTTTTTGGAGAAACTAAGTTTCATGTGAAGGCTTCAGTGGTGGAAAACTTATTTCTTTGAGACAGAGTCTCATTCTGTCACCCAAGCTGGAGTACAGTGGTGGGATCTCAGCTTACTGCAACCTCTGCTGCCTCAGCCTCTCAAGGAGCTGGGACTACAGGCATGTGCTGCCACACATGGCTAATTTTTGTCTTTTTTTGTAGAGATGGGGTTTTGCCACGCTGCCCAGGTTGGTCTTCTCTGAAACTCCTTGACTCAAGTGATCCACCTGCCTTGGTCTCCCAAAGTGCTGGGAATAAAGGTGTGAGCCATTGTGCCCAGCCTCTGGAAGCCTTTTTAAATTTAAAAGCTTTGGGGCTTATCCATACTATTTGTCAAGTTTTTGGAGAATTAATTTTGCTAGATCAGATTAAAGATTCTAAAACTAAATGCTTTTAGTAGTAGTTGGAATGGTATTGCTTTAAAAGTTGGTGAAAGAAAAAGCATTTGGTACTAAGCAAGTATTGCTTTGTTAACGTATTTGTTAGTACTATTCAGTGTGAAAATGCATCCTTGTCTAAAACTGTATGTGGCTATGGACACCACTTTTGTAGTTCACAATATACAGATTTTGTGTGCATTTAACTGTGTTACATGAAATCATCACTGCACTTAGCTTATAGCATTTAAAGGGATCAATGAATGTTACTGCTTGTAAAATGGAAAGTATTGTGTGCCACTTATAAATATTATCTATAAATCAGTACTTGGGAAAATTCTTTTTTAACCTATTGATACCAGGAATAAAGTCTGAAAAATTAAACAGAAATAAAATGATCTTGGGAGCAGGAATCTTTAAGAGGCCAGAAATCTCTTCCCTTCCTAGAACTACAATAACTAAACAACCTTTTTCTTAGCTTCCCCATTATATTCAAGCTGGTGTATGTCATTCCCCTTTGCAGTTACTTGCTGTGCAGCCAAGAGAGTGTCTGCCATCTCCTGTTCACTAACAAGCCAGGAACTAATGGGTCTTACCATACTCATGGCTGACTATGGGGAAATGACTCCTAACATTGTAAAAAAAAAATGTCCACCTTTTAAATTCCACAACTTATTTCAGTCATCTCATGGCTCTCATGTACCCTTTGTGAAGTTCTATCTAGCAATTTGAGAGGACCAAAACAAAACGCCCTTGCTACTTCCTACTCCACTAAGCCAATTTTCTGAAAAATTGATAGATTTGCCTTCAGTGTTTATAGATTCAAAATTTTGACAGGTATGGATAAAGACCTCTTACATACCCTTCTTCACCACACCCAGTGCTGAGTGCAGCTCCATCGCCCTCGTGTGTCTACATGTCTCTTTCTGTGTTACGAAGGTCATGTTGGTAGCACCTCCATTCTTTTGTCGAAAGTGCAACATCTTCAGCCAGTGGGTGTGGCTTGGATGAAGGAAGTTCAAGGGGCTGTTCTAAGTTATATTCTAGAAGTGTTTGTTTTCTCCATCCAGCTACTGCAACTGATGGAAGGCTTTACTTTGTATTTGCCCCATTATTTAATCTAAAATTAAAGAGTTTAGAATTTTAACCTGATTTGTGGAGCAGAGAAATTGAAAGCACTTAACTCTCATTCAGTACCCATGTTGCCTTGCTGCCTGGGTATCCGTCTAGTTCCCTTTCATAAAGTTTTTTTCAATCCATTAGCACCTCAGTAAAAATCTGCTACACTTTCATCATTTGTAATGATGGAGAGTCATAGCTTCAGCCATTTGACAGGTTTCCCAAAGTGAAGGCTTTGGTATCTATCACCTAGAGTAGTGGTCCTCAACCTTTTTGGCACCAAGGACCAATTTCACGGAAGACAATTTTTCCATGGAATGGGGAGGAGGAGGAGGATGGTTTTGAGATGAAACTGCTCTACCTCAGATCACCAGGTATTAGATCCTCATAAGGAACCCACAACCTAGATCCCTTGCAGTTCACAATAGGGATCCCATGTGCAGTTCACAATAGGATTCACACTCCTACGAGAATCTAATGCCGCCGCTGATCTGACAGGAGGCAGAACTCAGGCAGTAATGCTCCCTTGCCCGCTGCTCACCTCCCGCTGTACAGCCAGGTTCCTAACAGGGCTACCAGTCCACAGCCCAGGGATTGGGGACCCCTGACCTAGAGTACCTCAAAGCAAGTAACTCTCTCACTATTTTCCCTCTGCCCTTTTTCTTATACATGGCTTTGAAGAGAGTTCCCTTTTCTAGGTCAATAGGCATTAATTATTTGGTTTGTTAAGGGCAATTTGAAGAAGAAATAAGATGATACAACTTCTCTCCGTAGCACCTGTCTGGATCCTTACACTCTGAATGAAGGAAATTCTTTTTTTTTTTTTTGAGATGGAGTCTCACTGTTGCCCAGGCTGGAGGGCAGTGGCACAATCCTGGCTCACTGTTCAACTTGGCTCCCAGGTTCAAATGCTTCTCCTGCCTCAGCCTCCTGAGTAGCTGGGATTACAGGCACATGCCACCATGCCTGACTAATTTTTGTATTTAGTAGAGACAGGGTTTCACCATGTTAATCAGGCTAGTCTCGAACTCCTGACCTCATGATCTACCTCTCTCGGCCTCCCAAAGTGCTGGGATTTCAGGCATGAGCCACTGCACCCAGCCAGGAAATTCTTATATTTAGTTTCAAAATATATTCTCTCTCCTTGACTTACATCTTTTTATCTTTTTCTAACTTTGAGTCCATTTTTTTTTTTCATTGCACTCCCATTCCAGACAGCTCCTGCTGTCTAGAATTCTTTCACAGCCATGGCAGGACATCTTTAAATAGAAAATACTAAAAGGAAAATCTTTCTAATCCCAGTGACTAAGTACTGGGAACCTATGTTCTCAATTTTCCCCATATTGTGTTCTTTGCATTATCAAGGTGATAATGTTATGTATCTGAATTGCTGACACATTGAAAATGAAGTTTAAGAAGAATGTATACAAAGCAAACACTATATTAATATAATAATTAGAAAACAGGGGAAAGCAGACTCAAAAGACATTTGTAGTGTATTGTCTTTGTCTTAAATCTCATCCAAATAAACATACTGTAAAACAAAATAAAACAACCAGGGTAACTTGAATGCTGGATAGTTGATTAATTAACTTTTCAGGTGTGATAATGGTATTGTAGTTTTCTTTTTTAAAGAGCTATATCTTTTAGGGATACTAAAATACTTTTGGATGAAATAGGGTGATAAGATGTCTGAGATTTGCTTCAAAATACTGTTAGAGTAAAAGAGAGAGGAAAGGGGATAAAGATGAAACGAGATCAGCCATGCAATGAACAATACTGTACATGTAAGTCATTACATTCTACTCTCATTTGTATGTTAAAATTTTCCATAATAAAAAGTAACAAAACACAGGGTGAGAGACATCTATTTACTCTGGTACCCGTTACTTGAGCAAAAAGAGTTTAATCCTCACATCCAAACTCCCCAGCCTTTGGGAAAGGAATGAAGGCCAAGCGTCCCAGGCTGCCCTCTGAAGACTTCTGTCCCTAGGAGTAGTGGTACCTGTTTTGGGTGGCACAGATAATACAGATGGAGGGAGGCTGGGTATGGCCATGCTACCCATACACATAGAAGAGCTGACATGAAACCACCACAGAGAAGCAGGAAGGACCACTCGCCCTCAGACTTTGCATTCTCCAGGTGCCCTGGGCCTACTTGACAGGGGCCAAGGTCACCTGTGCTATGAAACTTCCATAGTACCTGGGCTATAGAGCATACCTGTTCCTAATGCAGTTTTTGCCTCATGGCTGTATAGGGTGGACTTAGCTCTGGGGCCTTGTACATTCCCTAGGATTACCCAGCAGCAGATTTGGGTCTTTGCATTGCCCCACCCCTGCTCCCCACTGAGGTAGAGCACTGAAAATGTGAACCGAGCAGGTGAATTCAAATTGTGGGAGTGGGGTGAGGGAGGTGCCACCAGGTTTAGACTCTCTCTCAGCCTTGGCCTGCTAAAAGGAGGTAACAGTGCCTGGACAGTAGAAAATCCGACAGTAGCCACCCACAGAAACGAGCTGAAAACTGGGACACTAAGTGCTACCTCTCATTTGGGGCTCAAAAGATGGTTATGTGTGTCACAAATACATCTTGGGAATGTGACTGCTTCTATTTTGTTTCCTTTTCATTTGTTTAGTATCAACCTCTCCCAGTTATCATTTTTTAAGCACCTGTATTAAGCATGCCATTTCATTTCATTTTCTCCCTGAAGATTATCTAAGAATATCACCTGAGGAAGGTGCTATTGGCCTCATATTACAAATAGAGAAACTGAAGCTGAAAGGTTAAGCACCTTCTCTATATTCAGACAGCTCAATAGTGAAAGAGATGGTATATAAGCCCCATTCTTTTTTTTTTTTGCCCCACTCTACTGGTAAATAAGCCCTATTCTTATTTCACAAAGCTGCCTCCATGCCGGGGCAGGTGATGTTAACCCTGCCCAGAACCCACCAAAATAGAGAAGCTCCTAGGGAACAGAGTTGATAATGTTCATACCCTGCCCCTACTGACTGCCAGCCAATCTGCTTGATTCTGTCAAACTGGCAGTTATGGCTCTGGATGAATCAAAGGAGGTTGTTACTATCTTCCTTCCTGGTACACTGAGCACCTCACCAGGCCTCTCTCTGACCATCACATCCCAGTTTCCAGAAGCTATTCCGCTGGTTATCTGCCTGACTACCCATTCTCCACAATCCCCATGAATGGATGCTACCCAGGACACACAGTGAGCCTAAGCTGCTGTCTCCCCTTTCTTATCACCGTAACCCAGTTTGTTTCCTCTATCCCATGGAGACTGCTCTGGCCAGCTCACCAGGCATCTGTGCATACAATGGCCACTTCCCAGAACTCACTTGCCCTCTGAGCTGCTCAATCTCTCTCCTCCTGAGAAGTGGATGCCCCTTCAGGCTGCAGACTTTTTAACTCTCAGGGCTTCCCAGGGCTCTACCTTCCCCTTCCCTCTGTATACTCTCCTCAGGTAACTTGCTGCCTCAGATTCTCGCAGCCTTACCTGACTCATACATCTCCAGCTGCTTACTCTGTGCTGACCAACTCCCACAGGTCGGTGACCACATTCTGCTCCCCTTGCCACTACAGGACTTAAGTTAGGCATAGGATTTGGCTTTCACAGTGGCCAAGCAGTATCATCCCAGCAAGAAAGTGGGAAGCTAACACTGGCTCCATGGCCAACTTTAGGCGGTAAACTATGGGCAGGAAACAGAGAGGGTGAATTTCCCCTCCATCCCTCCATCAATCCAAATATAATGCATGGTGTTTCTGTGTAGTCTACCCAGAGACATCCAACATGGTCAAGTGACCAGCTGTGTCTTTGTGAAGCAAGGGCCAACTCACTAACACTAACCTTTGATTTTCTTTTCCTCCCTTCCTCTCACTGCTCTGAGACTTCACCTTCCAATAAAGTGCTAGCACTAGCTTTGCCTCAGATTCAGTTTTCTTAAGTAACTTGAACAGTAACCTCACCCAAACCATGCCTTCAACCACCACTGACACTCTCCCAACTCACTCCCCTAACTTTATCTTCAATCTGGACATTTCTGCTGAGCTCCAGACCCAGTAGGTTCCAACTGCCAACTGGACAGCTCTGCTTGTACATTCTCACAGGTACCTGAAACTCATGTCCAAAATAAAACTAATCTTCCTCCTCCCCAAATATATGCCCTTCTCTTGTATTTGGCAGGATGCAGAGATGGAAGACACCCTAAAGGAACTCCTGCCTAAAGTGGGAGAGAAGTTAAACTTCTCTTAAGTTAAACTAACACTTAAAATAGAAATAGATGCTTACTGGCATAAAGCAGCGTAGTAGGAGTACATACTGGAGAAGAGAAGCAAGCCTACTGTGTGCCAGCACAGTGCTTGATGCTTGCATGCACTATCTCATTTGGCCTTCATAACAACCCTGTAAGATATCATTATTTCCATTCTGCGGGTAAGAAAACAGATCAGAAATTAGAAATCTTGCCAAAGTCAAAAGCAACTAAATCTAAGCATACCTAAAAAAAAGGTCTGTATCTTTCGCTGCCTCCAGAGTAGGACACCTACAGGCCACAGGGATTGGAGATTTCCTGAGATGGCAATGCCAGAGCTATCTTAATAAATGGACAGGACGTCAGCTAAAGAATGAGGATGGGGCGGGGGCAGGGAAATAGAGTGGAGGGAAGGAGATAGTAGATGGCATTCTGGGTGGTGGAAAGAGGCCTGAGAGAGC